GTTGAGGTCAGGACTCTGACTGGGCCACTCCAGAAGGCGTATTCTGTGCTGCTGCAGTCATTGTTTTGTTGAATTACTTGTATGCTTTGGGTCATTGTCCTGTTGCATCACCCATCCTCTGCGGAGCTTCAGTTGGCGGACAGATGGTCGTACGTTTTCCTGCAAAATGTCTTGATAAACTCTGGAATTCATTTTCCCATCAATGACAACAATCCGTCCAGGCCCTAAGGCAGCAAAGCAGCCCCACACCATGATGCTCCCTCCGCCATGTTTTACAGTGGGGATGAGGTTTTGATGTTGGTGTGCTGTGCCTTTTTTTCTCCCACACATAGTGTTGTGTGTGCTTCCCAAACAACTCAATCTTGGTTTCATCTGTCCACAGTATATTTTGCCAGTAGTGCTGTGGAACATCCAGGTGCTCTTTTGCAAACTTCAAACGTGCTGCAATATTCTTTTTGGACAGCAATGGCTTCCTCCATGGTGTCCTCCCATGTACTCCATTCTTGTTTAATGTTTTCCTTATTGTAGATGTGTCAACAAAAATGTTAGCATGTGCCAGAGATTTCTGTAGGTCTTTAGCTGACACTCTGGGATTCTTCTTTACCTCATGCAGCATTCTGCGCTGTGCTCTTGCAGTCATTTTTACAGGACGACCACGCCTAGGGAGAGTAGCAACAGTGCTAAACTTTCTCCATTTGTAGACAGTCTGTCTTACTGTGGACACATGAACATCAAGGCTTTTGGAGATACTTTTGTAACCCTTTCCAGCTTCATGCAAGTCAACAATTCTTGATCGTAGGTCTTCTGAGAGCTCTTTTCTGCGAGGCATGGTTCACATCAGACAGTGCTTCTTGAAACCAGTAAACCCAAAACAGGTGTGTGTTTTTTAAGGGCAGGACAGCTGTCAGCAACACATCCAATATCATCACACTGATTGGAGTCAAGGTTGGCTCACTCCTGGCTCCAATTAGCTCTGGGAGAAGTCATTAAGCTAGGGCCTCACATACTTTTTCCTCCCTGCACTGTGAATGTTTACATGTTATGTGCAATTAAACCATGGCAACATCTAATGTTTGTGTAGTATTATGTTCAGCAGACTGTGTTCTTCTATTGTTGTGACTTAGATGACATTCAGAGCACATTTTATGCCCTATTCATGCAAAACTCCACGGAATCCCAAGGGGTTCACATACTTTTTCTTGCAACTGTATACTTACTGCAGTCTACCATACTCTTCTTTTTCCCCACTGATTACACTCTACTATAGTCACTGCGGTCTACCATACTCTGCTGTCTCCCAACTGATAACAATGAGTGCAATCTACTGTACTGATTTATTTTTTTTTTTTGCTGTCTCCTGTACTCTGTTGTCTTCCCACTGACATTACTCCCTTATAGTCCCAGTGTTATCCAGCATTCTGAAAGCAGAGTATGGAAGATTATAGTAAATGTTGTGGCTGCACTGCCCTACACTTACTGTAGTCTCCCATACTCTGCTATCACTCTGCTAAGTTCACTCCAAAATACTTACTGGGGGAGATTTATTAAAATTGGTGCACTAAGAATTTGGTGCAGCTGTGCATGGTAGCCAATCAGCTTCTAACTTCAACTTGTTGAGTTTTGACAATAAGCCCTGGTTCACAATGGTGGGACTTATCATGTGATTTGACAGTTCCAAATTGAATGACAAGTTGCACCCTATTTCTCCCTATGGAACTGTTCAAATTGATGTGACTCTGAGTTTGCAGTGCTGCACTTATTTGGAAAAAAGGCTCCTGCACTCTTTTTTGTAATTTCATGTGCGACTTGCATAGGCATCTAAGCATGAAGTTGCACAGATGTCAGGAAAGCCGCACATGAAATCGCATTGACCTGACTTCAAGCAAGGTAGTGGGATTTCAAAGTTGCATTCTTTGTGAACCAGGGATAAAAGCTGACTGGTTTCTCTGCAGAGCTGTACCAGATTTTGCACTCCCAATTTTAGTAAATAACCCCCTTCTGTGTCTTGCATCCTCTGCTGTCTCCTCAATTATAATACTTCATTAAAGCTGCTACCTTTTGCACTCTGCCTGAAGAGAGAATAAACAAGGCCAGCCATGTGATTCTGCCCATTCTTGGGGTACTTTGCTTCCACAGGAACTTAAAGTGGAGCTCCACCCAAAAGAGGAAGTTCCACTTTAAGCCTTTATCTCCCGCTCCCCATTAAGGATTGGCACCTTTGGGGAGCAGGTACCCAAATCTGACAGGTACCCCTCCCACTTCCACTGCAATCGCCTAGGCGATCGGTAGCAGAAGTTGCCCCCCCCTGTAGTCTTCTGGGACACGTGACAGGTCCCAGGAGACAACGGGGCCATTCACAAAGTGCAGCGCTTCTCGCACATGCGCAGTGGGCACCCGGCTGTGAAGCCGCAAGCTGTCACAGCCGGGTGCCCACACTGAAGATGCTGGCGCCAGGGAGAGAAGACGGCTGATGAAACCAGTGGTGGTGAGGACACCGGTGGTCCAAGGGACAGGTAAGTAACTGTATTTTAAAAGTCAGCAGCTACAGTTTGTTGAAGTTTTTATTGCTGTAAGTGCAATACTTGGATTATTAAAGTTGTTTACTTTGGGTAATACACGATTGGAGCAAACATTTTTTCTCTGTCTATGTTATGATGGCGTGGAGTATTTTATTATGATCCTGGCAACCGTTCATGATAAGGGTGATTCTTGGAGGAACCTCTTGATCTCGACAGTGGATATCCTTGTGATTATGCTATTAAAGGCTATGTTCTGGTGAGTGCACACCTGAGTGGGGGTGCATGGTGGGCACAGCATGGATCTTTTCAACACGTTTTATATATTTTCTATCACTGAAATTTATTTCAACATAGGACTTTAATTTTGGAATTTTTGAACACTGGACTTTCAGTTTTTCTCCTATCACGGGACTATTTTTGTATTCTATTTTCTTTTGGAATATATGGAGCATCACTGTTTTATGTTTACAGTCACTTTATATTTACCTAAATTACACATTATGTTTGTGTTACAGGGGTATTGATGAAGATAGAAAAGGACACATGAATAATAATTAGAGATTATTGATATAGGGTTTATATGGTATAGGTTATGCGCCGCTTGTGGTCACTTGAGTAAAGGTGATACTATATAGTTCCATCACATTGAATTAATCTGGTCCATCCCAAAAGCGTTGCACAGAGAAGGAGAAAAATTGTGATTTCAAATCCTCAGACCGCTAGACCAGCTGCATGAGTAGTGGAAGCTCAGGATCGCCAAAGGTGAGCACAGCGGGGAGGGTGTATGGTGTTAATTCACCTTTACATTTGTTCCTTTAAGAGACTCCTGTGGACAGAGACTGTTCCACAGTAAGGAAGGAAGCCATCAGCCAGTGATAAATAACAAAGTGTATGTATAGCTAAAACTTTTCTTTTACCTTTTGGATAGAGTCAGGAATGGATAGAACCCCTGTCAGGTTTTTTATTGCTGCTATGTTCATGTTGAGTAGATTCACCATCTTTATGTGTCCTAGTTACCATTGTGAGGGAGACAAAAAGTTATGAGAAATTCTAAATGTTATAATCACCACAGGAACAGGAGGCGATTGTTAATTTTACCAAACAAACTAGAAAACAGTAGGTATTTGGTACTATGCTCTTAACTAGATTATTACAATAAATGTATATACTTTTTATTTAAATAAGTAAATCAGTCTTACGAAAAGGGGTTTTTGTTCCTATTGCATCCAATTTAGGCCATATGCTCATATTTAGGATAAATAGGCTATCCCAACTATGCATAACAATGCCTCATGGTTCACTTTACAGCATTAGCATTATTATTGTGTGTACACCCCTCCCAGTTTCAAAAAGGGTGTATCTATTGCACAGACTTGCCTAATTATTGCGGCTTGAAAATGTGTCACCACTTTATATTGCCTTTTTGAATGATGTTAACACAGCACAAAGATTACCTTCCCACCAGTGCATAACATTGTTCTTACACCATGCATATACTGTATGTCTTTATGTTGTTGTTATTCTGATGATGTCAGTTCAGCACACTTTGCACAAACACACCTTATTACTGCTTTATTGTATATTGCCATTTCAAATATATGAATCCAGCATAGACATTATCTTCTCAATAGTCTAAAAGAGAAATACCCTAACTTTTAGAGATTTCCTCTCAATCCCTGCGCATCTCTAGGACATGAAATCATGAAAAATCTTTCCAACTGGACACAGCCAGCACAAGATAAACTGACAGGGGTGTAACCCATCCCTACAGTATTCAAAAATTGTATTAAATGCTTACCATAATTTTCCTTTCCTTGTGCCCATCCATTGCAGCATACACGTGATAGAGCTCTGCCTCTTAACCACTCCCTCAGGACCAGTAAATTGCATAAAAAAGGAATAGTCAAGGCAAGGCCCCCCCCTCCCCATTCTTTGTAATTAGTCATATACACACATAGGGTGGGCATGTATGCTGCCATGGATGGGCACCAGGAAAGGAAAGTTACGATAAGTATTTGATACAATTTTCCCGGAGCCCACACAGCAGCATACATAACTAACTGACCGGGTGGGTACTGCTTGACAAAGTAATTTTATTTTACAATGTGACAGAAGACTGTACAGTTCTTCTTCCAAAGTGTATTATTGACAAGGAACCTGGGTCTATTCTGTAATGTTTTAAGAAAGTATACTGAGATGACCATGATGCCCCTCTACATATGGTTTCTATGGATACTTTCAAATGTGCTGTTCAGGAGGCTGCAACCAACCTAGTGGAGTCCACAGTCACCGCAGAAGGAGGTTCAAGGCCCCTTGCTCTATATGCTCTGTTAATGCGTTTCAGGATCCAGCTAGCTAAGGTTTTGGCAGCTTCCTGTCAGGGCAGGAACGCTGGAACGGGCAGGCAGGCCTATGGTACGGTCACGCTGCGACTGACGACAGCCACTACCCACAGACCGGAGTCCCTCAGGGCGCGGAGTCTAAGCCCCAGGCTACCCTTCACCAGGGCCCCTGATGGTGGGGATGGACTTGACGCAGCCTGAGACCAGGTCGCGGCCCCCGAGTGACCCCAGCTGCGATAACGACTGCCGCCAATGGCGTACAGCTGGTGGGAGCTAGATAGGAACACGAGTAGAGTAGTCAGACAAGCCGGGTCAATAACAACGGAGCAGACAGTACTAGACGGTAGGCAAAGAATACTCAGGTCACGGGCCGGGTTCAGCAACGGGAGGTCAGGTAAAGGGTTAACACAGAGAATAGTCTTGTCAAAGCCGAGTCGGTTACCAGGAGTGCAATGGGAACACCACAAGAGCTTGCAACAGGGCAACATACAGGACACAAGTGCAGAGCACACTTGCAGACAGCAGGTTTAAATGTGCTCAACCACACCCTTCTGAGGAGGAGCCGCAGAAGCCTGAAGGCATAAAGGTTCCCACCATGCTTTGAAGAAAACCAAGATGGATGCCAGCTCATGGAGATGCACAAGCTCTGAAGAAAGGTAGGACCTTGACACTTCCTTCCCTTGATTTTTCCCAGTTGGAATGATGAAGAGCCTCTTATAGGATCTAAAAGGAGCAGTAGCAGGGAGATACTTCCTCAATGTTCTGGATACATCTAGCTCATGTAACCTTCCTGTGTGATCTTCTGGAAAGTTAGGTAAGGCCCAAACATGAAAAGATGTTGCCACCTTAGGTATGAAGTGGTTTACAGGATGTAGTTCTACATGATCTGGGAAGAAAACAATGTCTATCCAAGGCCCACAGGGCCTACAGTTCTGACACTCTTCTACCTGAGGTTATTGCTTTAAGAAACACTGCTTTAAAGGTAATGTCCTAAATGGACCACTGTTCTGTTGGGGCAAACAGCTGTTTCTCTGGTGCATGGAGGTATTAGGAAAAAAGAGAGAATGCGGGGGGCCTTAGCTATTCCTTTTTTATGCTATTCACTGGTCTAGAGGGAGTGGTTAAGAGGCAGAGCCCTATAACAGTTATGCTGCTATGTGGACACCAGGAAAAAAAGTTTTGCCAGAAAAAGCTGTCACTGTGCTGCCTCCATCAGATATATGGGTGTAGCACCCTCCTACTTGATAGGTTGCTAGGTAAATTTAGTTGGCTCCCCTGTAAGCAGAAGTTTTTTTAATTGGGCTAGGAGCTGTTCAGTGTCTCACAGGTTGCTGGCCTGCTACTTTCCCCTGTCTTCTGGAGTGTTCCAGAACATAATGGAAGGGCAGGCAGCCTATATATTTATGGTTCTCCAGCCAATTCCTAGGGAAGCATGCCCAGTAAGTGGAAGGAAAGGTGAATACTTTGAGGCCTAGCAGCCAGGGGGCAGAGTCCAGGGTCCAGCAACTGGAGGAGACCCCTTTGCTGGAGGCTGTGTCCCTAGGGCAGAGAGGAGAAAAGGAGAGAGGCCTCAGGAGTCTAGTACATCTGTGAAGATCTCAGCTAGGCTTAGCTGAGGACCCTACTAGATAGAGAAAGACAGACTGGGTCAGCGTTGACTCCAAGAGCCAGGAGTTCTGGAGTGTGGAAGCCCCATTTCTGGGAGTGAGTACTTAATCCAGCCATTTAAGGGAGAAGTGACTGTAGAGTGCAACACATTACAAGTCAGGATTGCGTGCAGCCAGGAGTTGTGCAAGTCAACCAGAGGCACACCACTTCTCAAAGACTGAGCTTAGTACAGCCAGGTGCAGTGCAAGACAGCCAGTAGCGGTGCAACTACAACTACTACTCCATACATCTAAGACAAAGTACCTTGCAGCCTAAAGTTGTGCAGTACAGCTCGCAATCTGTACAGCACAGCTAGAAGTTTAGCAGCCCTCAAGTTGTTAAAGTTCTAGAGTTTTACAGTTCGGGGTATCCCATGCTCCCTTCGCTATCCAAGTTCATCATTCCACAATAAAAACACCAAAAAACAAAACCCTGTCTGATTATTGAGCCCATGGAAGTATGCAGAAAATGCTGTGTGCCTTGCTGTGGGTGCTGTAAGAAGGAAATAGACCTAATCACCAGCAGCTCCTTTGTGGTAGTGATACACGGGCAATGGAAATACATCTATGGTGATATCCTATGCTGTTTCACTAGATTAATTGTTTATGGTTATGAGGCTACCTAGACATCATTGTATTACCTGCATTCATTATCTGTAATTCTTACCTCTCAAGCTGTACTGTAACACCAACATCTACTGCATCATATTATTTGCCTAAGCATTTCTGCATGCAATAAAGTTATCTGTGGATGCCAAATGTTCAGCTGTTTGATGAAAATTGTCTGCAGTGATTATGTCTACTACATTCAGGTCAGGAAGGGATAAGTCACCATTACAATTATTGGAGTCAGAATATTCTCCCTGGTTCTAGGATCTGGGAAGTCCTCAAGCACTACACTTGTAAAGGAGGATGCGTGAGGCTCCCTGGGTTGAGCTTTAGACACTGGAGTGAGATCTGGTCCATGTCTGCAAAGGGATGGGGTCTAGTCTCAAACATTAACACTCCCACCAAGGCTGGTGTGCAATCCTGGAAGCTCCATTTATACTTCATGTGTTTACCTCCAAGCTCCATGGTCTTTCTCTTGCCACTGACTTCTACTTCACTCACATCTGGGACACTGTGGTAAGGCCGGCACCCTAGTTCTCCTCCCATGCTGCATCACTTGTGTCTCACAATTCCATCTACTACTTTCAGAGCCCTCTTTACTGCTATGATTCTTGACATTTCAACATTCCTTGCTGTCTCCACTGATTATCAGCACTAACACTGTTTCTCATCTCTGCCTATTCATCTTCCAACATGTGTCCCAGATTACCTATATTCATTGCTGCTCCTTCATTCTCTTGCCTTCCCTGCCATCACTTTTTCTTACCTTTCTTGCTGTTTCTCTGTTGTTGCTTTTATGTTTACTTGCTGCCTTGACTTAAGTTCATAAATAAAACTAGTCCTCTCTGCTGTTCAGTGTGTCTTCTGCTCTGTTTTCCACATATCTCAGATACCACCGTGTCTCTCCTGGAAGCCCTCCCATCCACAAGCTACCCCATGTCTCTAAAGCTAGCCATATATGGGTTAAATTTTTTATTTCAGCCAGCGGGTAGAATGAATGAAAAAAAACTGAACCAATTCACCCATTCGAAGTTGATGTGGTAATCCTCTCGCTGTGTCATTGTATGCTGACATCAGGGAGACATCACCACCATCAAAATACGCAGATCAAAGCTGCAGGCTACAGTCTGCAGCGCTGATCAAGAAGAAATTTTCTAGCAGGACGGTTATAAAAAAAAGTTGATCGGAAGACTGACTTCTGTACAACCACAGTTCCCATACATGGATCGAAATTTGGCTAATCCCTGCTGGCCGGTTACTACGTTTCTAGAGCAATGGTTGACCTCCATCTGAAATTGCTGGTTGCTTAACTATATTTGGTTTCAATACTTTTGAGTCAGTCATTGACTTATAATATATTAAAGTAATTTCTTTAACGTGACAGTCAGGCATTTAGTATTCTCGCAAGCAGAGGTTAGTGATTGGAGGTTGTCAAAGGCAGCTAACCCATTTCCCTCATGACAAGTTTCCTTTAATATTCATATAATCATTCCTAGGGTTTGTTATTATTAATTTTTCCATAAGAAATATCTGGGCTTCCATAATGCTTTATCTCTAAAATTGTCTAGCGATGCGCCAGGCTCTTTACAATTTAACAAATTCCACCTATTCTAGAACAGCCAACATTCTTTGCCCCGTGTAGGTCCTCCATACCTAGTGGTGTTGTTGGCACCACCCAGCTCAACAAAAGTCTTTTTCTCAACTAACTTTTGTCAAAGGAACCAAGTGGAAAATTCTTGGATGAACAGCGTGTGCATCCAATCCACTGTTTGTGTATTTTGACAGCCACAGATGCCAGCTTTCCAAATACAATAGCTTGCTGGATATGGTGCAGGGGAACATAGGATGCTTTCAGCTGCCATTGTGCTCTATTTTGCTTTTGGTGTGTTCTGTACCTTTAGGGAGGAGTGGCTTCCTCCAGACATACCTGCCCTTAATTTATTCAATGCTATATACAGTATGCTCTAACTTGGAGACTCTCATAGATTAAGCCAACCATATATGGATCAAAATTCGGCCGGTTCAGCAGGGAGCAGCCGAATTTCGATCTACGTATGGGCATGGAGGTTGTAGAGAAGTCAATATATCAAATGACATCTGGACAACTGCCTTTTGAATTTTCCACGCTTGATCAGACCTGCAGGGTATAGCCTGCAACGCTGATCAGTGTATTCTGACAGCAGGAAATTCTCCCCACTGTCAGAATACAAAAGCTCAGTAAGGAGGGTTCCCTCATCCACATAGAATGTGTGGATGGGGGAATTGGGTCAATTTTTCTGTTCAACCTGCTGGTCAAACAGTGATCCATCTTCATCCACAACTACCTACTGTAAGTGTTAGAATGCATTATTCAAAGTGGCCTGACAAGACAGTGCAGCTTCCACATGTATTTGCAAATTGTGTGCAACTAAAACCTCTGTATTTAACTCAGATCATTTTTTATTTAGCTTGCAGAATTCAGTAGCTGGCACTAGAAACTTTTACCTTCCATACTCTTTAGTGGAGCTGAATTTTAGAATTTTATTGTGGAGGCTTTAGGAGGCCTACGTAGTCTGCTGGTCCATACAATTTGGGCAGTGTGCACCAAATGTGTTTCCAACCCTAAATTTATGTTCACACCAGTGCTGCTGCATAATCCAGTGCATGTTGTTAGTACATTTTTTATGCATTTTAATGCTTTGTTCATTTTGGTAAGAGGATGAGACTGGTTTAAGCACAAAACTGCCAAAAACGCATCAAAATATGTTTTTTTGTGTGCTCCCATTGAAGTATATGGGGTCAAAAATGCACTATTCTGCACCAAAGTAAGTACCTACATCTTTTTTTTGTTAATCATACTGCACCATATTTCATTGATGTATACAGGCAATATACAGACTAAAGTGCTTTCCACTGTTGTGCATTGCAGCACAGATGCAGTAGAAATCACACTAGTGTGAGTGAAGCCTAAAGCCCCGTACACATGATGAGAATATCGGGCGAACGATCGCCCTTTTTTTTTCGCCTGCTAGTCTCACATCAAAAGTGAAACAGTTATTAAAGATACAAAAATTCTACTATGAAAGAAAAGAATTTTGAAAGTGATGTCATGTATTGTATTGTATTTGTATTACACTTTCGGACGACTACTGTACTGCTTAAACGAAAATCGTACGATCTGGTATCGTACGAGAAATATTTTTGCACTTGCCCATTCGGATATTGTC